ATCCAAGCCTTAGCAACCTCTCATACCCTTAGATCTCTCCCTAAGTAGCAACCTAACCATACACCTCACGCCTTAAACCTCAACCAATCACCTTAGGGCACCACATCACACCAACCAATCACATTTCTCCAACTCTAGCTGCCCAAATCTGCTCCCTCCATTCTAGGCGCCCAAACCTCCCTCCATTCTCAAACTCTAGGGTGCCTATATTTTTGTATAAACCCAAGAGCTGCCCATCTCTTCCTCTCTAATCCCAGTTTTGTCCACCATTCTCTATAAAAAGGACCCCAAGGGCCCTTGAGAAGGGGTTAGTCAATTCACACAGTTCACAAGACTAAGGTTTCTTGATGAGTTCAAGGGTTGTAGAAGGGAAGAACGCCCAGATCTTTTCAGGAGGGGTTCCTACAAGTAGTCCAACCAACCTGCAACTACTGCCACTGGATTTGATTAACCATCCCTTTCATTTTCTTTATTTTATTTTATGTTATTTTTATTCTAGTAATCTTTTAGATTTAATTTCGGTTGGATTCTGCTCTCAGGTAAGATGGAAGGCTGTTCTTGAGAAGTTCAAGGGTAGAGGAAGAGGAGAACGCCCAGGCAAGAGGAGAGGTTCCTACTTGTAGTTTGCCTAGCCACTACTGCCACCTCTGGATCCGGATCCCAACCAGTTTCCCATAGTTTTAGAATTACTTTTTACGCGTGTTTTTATTTTCTGTTCTTTAATTTTTAGTTTTTATTTTATTTCTACAATTTATTTTTATCAAATTTAAATTTTGTCTTCCTTTCTGAATCTGAAATACGGCTAGGTAAGATGGAAGGCCCAGCTCGAGGAGTTCGAGGGTCAAAGGATAGATCTGGAGACTGCTACCTCTGACCGAGTTGTAGGTTTTTTATTTAGTTTTTTTATTTTTGTTATTTATTTATTTTTCTGCAATTTTTAAATTCAACATTGTTAGAATTTTATTTTAATGGATTCTAGTTCAGTTAATTAAATTTTGTATTTTTGCAATCTCAAATCTGGTTATTTTGTCTGGATTGAAGTACGTAACAATTTTTCCCTCGCTTCCCTGTGGATATGACCCCTTTCTCACCACTAATTGTGTTTTGTAGTTACTTTGAGAATCGTAAAATTTATAAATATTAAAACTAGTGTTCTGAAGTGGTTAACGACACGCTTCCGAACACACCAATACTTCATAGACAAACCCCCACTCTTTGGAAGACTAGTAAAGTGGATGATGCAGTTGAGCGAATACAACATCGAGTATACCCAGCCCAAGGGAATTAGATGTCAGGCGGTCGTAGATCTCCTAGCTGCCTTCCCCATTAATGATGACTTCCCCATCTTTGAAGAAATTCTTGGAGAACTTCCCCTCATCGTAGTAGTAGATGATGCAAAATGGACCCTAATGTTTGATGGTAGTAGTACAAACTCCTCCACAAGAGTCGGAGTCACATTGACTTTGCTTGCTAGAGAAACTTCAGCCTACTCATTCAAACTACAATTCCCCTGCTCGCACAACATTGTAGAATATGAGGCACTAGTGCTAGGCCTAACAATAGAAAGGGATTCTGGGGCAAAGAAGGTAAAAGTAGTAGGGGACTCCAAACTAGTTATTGGACAAATGGAAATCAGCACAACGGTGAAAGAGTTGACAATCCTGCCATATAGAACACTGATCTGAAGGTTGACCAGAGATCTGGAAGTAACCTATGAGCACTAGAATAGGGCAAAAAATAGGTATGTCGTTGCACTAGCCACCCTGGGATCTAAGATACAAACAAGTGAGAGCCCAATCACCATAGCAACTCAGATGTAGTGTGAGCCATTAACAAAAAGATTGGGTTACTAGGTTAAGACAAAGTATAATGTCAAAAAAGAAGATTGGAGATGTAGTATAATACAGAAAATAAGTAACCCAACGGCAGCGATGCAAGATGGCAGGATTCTTTTGAGGTTCCAATTGTTAAATGGGGTGTTATATCACAGAATGGCAGATAGAGTAAGGGTAAGGTGCCTAGGACCCAAGGAAACATCAATGGTCCTGAATGAAACTCGCAAAGCCTATTGCGGAGATGTAATGTCAACACTTTACTGGAGGTTGCAAAGGTTGGGATATTATTGGCCAGAGAAGAAAGCAGACTCGACCAAGATACAAAACAACTATGAGAATGTATACTGAAGGCAGATAAAAATCAATGCCTCATAGTGGGTGATGTGGATTGAAGAGACATGTACATAGATTACATCCAGAATGGTATTACACCAGTCAACCCAGTTTTGCAAAGGAAACTTCTAACCGAAGCCAAAAGGTGTTACTTGCAAAATGGAGTGCTATACAGGAAGTCCTACACAAGGAAGCCTCTGCACTGCCTGGCTAGTGAGGAAATAGAAGAAGCATTGGATGCAGCTCATAGCTCTGGACCAGCCCCATACCAAGGATAAATGGCCTTGCATAACCATATTATGCACTTATGTTTCTACTGGCCAACCATGTAGGAGGATACCCAAAAACATGTACGTAAGTGCCACACATGCCAAGTACATGGCTAATAGATACACCGACCAGCCAATGACCTTCACACCATGGCCTTTCCACACTTGGGAGCGGGGTAGACCTAATAGGCAAAATACATCTGCCCTCTAGAGGTTATTGCTTCATCATTGTGGCCATAGATTACTTTACAAAATGGGCGGAGGCCATACCATTTAGAAGGAGTTGCGTAGAGAATATTGTAGATTTCTTAAGGTAACACATAATCCACTAGTTTGGGGTCCTGATGAGGATACTTATGGATAATGGGTTATCTATCAAGAACCAGGAAGTCCAGGACTTATTGAAATAGTACGGGGCATGACTAGGAACATCAACGACCTACTATCTACAAGGGAATGGGCAAGCAGAGGCAACTAATAAGACTTTGCTGAAGATGCTAAGCAAGAGGGTAGCCGAAAACTAAAAGGACTAGACCGATAAGTTGTCTAAAATGCTCTCGGCTTATTGCATAAAAATTAGGAAAAAGCATACAGACAACTCCATACTCTTTAGTCTACGGCCAAGAAGCAGTCTTATTGGCAGAAATACAAACCTTATCTGCCATAGTAGCTTACGCAATGGGAAAACGTTTTCAGATGGACGAGATGAACTAAATGCTTAGTGATAAATTAGAATGTATAAATGAAACCCAAGAAAAATCACTACAAAAACAAATTAAATACAAACAACTCATGGCTTCCAACTTCAACAAACTGTTAAAGCCTTGGAAATTCAAAGAAGGCGATAAGGTACCAAAGACACACCATGTAAGACAAGGAAAATCAGCTCGGAAGTTTGCTCCTAACTGGGTCAGACCAGCGAGGTGAATGGGGGAATGAGGGAGTTCCAAATAGAATTTTGGCTTGATGAAGGGTTGAACAGGGGAGTTTTGAGATGAAATTTGGTGGGTAGGCACTTTTGGATGTTCCAAATCTGATGTGAGCGATGGGTCTTTGATCAGGGGTGTGGGTTGACAGATTTGGTTCAGGTCAAATCTCAGCTTATGGTTTATCAATTAACGAAAAGGCCCAAAATGGAATCTTGCTTGTTTAACGGTCAAACAGAGGAATTTGGTCATGAAATTTGATGTGATGGGCAATCTTGTGTTTCTGGAGGAAGTGGTAAGGTCTGATCGATTAGACAAAGATTGGGTGATGGAGATTCACGGTTGGTAAGCTTTAATCAATGAGATTTTCCAAAATAGAATCTTAGCTTGATGGAAGGTCTAATAGGGGGTTTTTGAGTTGAAATTTGGTATAGTGACATGGATTTAGATTACGATGCTGTTGGAAGGGTTTGATTGTGTTAGAGACATATAGATCACAGGTTTTAGGCTCGAGATGTGGCGTAACATGAAGTATATTTAAATAGAACCTCTTATAGACGAATGACTAAACTAAGGAATTTAGGGTAGAAATTTGGTGTGATTGGTTTTTTAAAGATTTTGTTTCATGTAATGGAGTTTGACCGGGGATCAAATATGGTGATGTGGCACAACTGTGACCATTGGAAGGGAATTGTAGATTTAGTAGTAGATTTGAGGGTCTTTGGGCTAAAGTTTAGTTTCTTAGGGTTTTGGCACATTCTAAAGAGATTGGTGTAGTTTGATCGAGCATCCAAAATACAAGAGATGGGTTAAAGAAGGGACCGAGCAAAAATCGAGTGCTGAGAGGTACCCCTCTTTGCTAGAGGTAGCAAGCTACTGAACAACAAAGAAAAAGAAGCACATAGGGATTTTTGTGAGGGTCAAGATGTTAGAGGAGGGAATTTTGCTGCTGGAATTTTGGTCAACAATGGAAGTACATTTTAAACATTAGTGATTGGTTTCTTCATATTCTCTGGTGAAAACATTTGGATTACTGAAGTGCCCATAATAAATACAAGAATGTGGAAGGCTTTAAAAGATTAGGTTAAAGACTGAGGCTCCATTTGGAAGGAGTACAAATACAAATACGTAGCGTGCAAATCTTTTATTTTGTATTATTTTGTATGTGTTTGTACTGTACATATTTATATTTGTACTCCTTACAAACTAAGGCTAAAGGAAAAAATAAAGAAGGCTTTCATTTACATTTTAAAGGGAGATATATAAGAATGTGGATGAATTTAACAGCTTAGGTCAAAGATAGTATAGGAGGAAATTAAAAGAAACCTCTTAAAATTTGTCCTTTACATTATATTTGTTAGATTTAACGTTTGAATGGTCAACAAGTATATGTAAGTTGTTTTTAAAACTATCGGTTATATTAAGTGGTTTCCTTAAAACTCAAGGTAAATAAGTAATTATATACCTTTGCCCAGCAATCTTTCTCAGCTAAACATATGAAGATTATATATGGTGGATATCTGTATTTACAACCTCACACATTCACAGAAGGAAAATACAGACATGAATGAAAGGAAAAAACAGTGGAAGCATTCTCATGGATTTATTTGAAGAAGCAGAACTGTGAAAGTTAAGAATTAATTTTGGATGTTCTTGGATGGTTTCAAAACCCGCCTCCGGTATTCTCCAAGTGCCCACACTGGATAGATGTTTCTGTATGCTGCATAGTGTAACATACAGTTCTTCATGAAGACTCCAGTGATTTCCTGTAGTATATGACCGATGAATTAAACATCATAAGAAACAAGGAAATTAGTAAAACAATATTAGATAGAAAATTAC